TCGCACAAATCCGACTTTCTGTGCCGACTGTTTCAACCATCAGTTACAGTACACTTCTCGAGATATTTTGTCTCTAGCAGAATTCAGCTGACTGCAGCGACGAATCGCGTATTTCGTCTGGGGAGGTCACGTAACAATGTGCCCCCCCCCCCCCTCCAGGGTTGAATATTCTCATCTAAAGAAGCCTTTGGATTTCGCTCACCAAATTTTGGGATTCTTAAGCTAGCTATTTTGTATATCGCAAACTGTCTTACCGGGCTCAGCAGGGGTGGCAATTTTTGAAAATCGTTGAGGGCCGAATCAAAGGCCCGACAACCTATCCCCCCCCCACACGCACACACACCCAGTCATTTTTTCTCACCGGATTTATCCCGCTTTGTTTCAGTTAAAGCAATATATGCCTTTCATATTTGTATATGTTATGAAAGCCTTTAATTTAAGCAGTACAGAAGTCGTGGATGGGGACTTTTTGAAGCTAAATACGTTGTAAGACATACAGCGAAACCAGTTACGGTTGGCTGCTAAATACAATGCTAACTACAATCAAGCATGACACTTGATTAACAGGTTGGTTGCGGCTGGTCTGTTTCCGGTAGCTTGTCGGATAGTTGATGTTGTGGTCAGTTGATAGTTCATGACAAATGTATAATTTTGCTTTGAATGCAGTGAAGGAGTACAAAATATGGTAGCATTCAAACTACGTTAGAAATGTGATGCACAATTATAATGGAGTGATACAAGTTCAACAACTAAAAAAATTAAGTACAGTTCATCGGTGGCGTTTAAAATAATTGCAGTCTGTTGCCAAACATTACAGGATTGTATGCGGCTGCTGATATCTGCGAGCAAGATGCCAGGTAAATGTGTCAGCATCTAGATCTCAAGGTTATGAATATTAATCAATTTAGCCTGGCCTGTATATGCAAGCGGGCAAGACGCCATGAATAACGGAGGTGTTGGCGCATACAAGCACGTATGGGGTTTTTGGCAACAGAGTGAGGTCCTGATCTCGTGGAAGAACCCAAGCCCAATGTGGAGAGCCTGGAAGGGCCCAAGAGTACCCCGGGCGAAGTACGTGTAAGGCCCCGTTCACAGCAAAGACCCTCAATAAAATGGGAAAACCAAAGGCCGATAGGAACGGCACTTAAGCGATCCAGAGTGCCTTGGCAAATGAACGTATAGGCCCCTGTCAACAGCGTGAGGTGTTCTGAGTAAATATCAAGTGCGCGATGCCAATGTGGCGGGCCCCTGTGCAATCAAGAGTACCCGGGAAGGTTAACAGAAATTGAGGTGCACTTGGACAACCGAGAGCACCTCGGCAGGTTAAGATATGGGGCTACGTCAATAACGTATGAAGCCTTTCGGGTGAATGGGAAGAATCCGTAGACGGCCCTTGATTGATCAAGGGTACCACGGCAGTTCAGCGTATAGGGCTCCGACAACAGCGTAGGGCCCTCCGAGCACATGCAAGGAAATTAATGGCAACGTGGAAGGCCACTTGGCGATTGGAGTGCCGCAGCAAGCGGACATATAGGACCCCGTCAGCAGCGAAGGGCCTCTGGACGGCGTAATGAGCCGTAAAACCTCTCCAACCATCACCCTCCCATGAATCAACGAGTTATTACGTTCTGCTCGTGAACCCTTGATTTGTTGCCTGCAGCTGTTTTTGGTCGCCTAAAGGCACAAAGACTTGCAATTTTGTGCTTTTGTGTTTTTAAAAAAATGCTTAGTTCGGCCAGTTGTGACCTTCTTCGGAGCATGCGCGTCTCCTCGGAGCCTAAAGGGGCATAGTCCCGTGCCCCCCCCCCCCCCCCCCCTCTGAACTTGCTACTGGTCGAGCGCAGTATCGTTCGCTTAGGCGAGATAAACAATACATTTTTTCAATAACAAAACTCATTTATAGCATACGGCTTCGGTTTGAATGTAACACAACTGTTATCAAGCGCATTCGCTAAAAGAGCAAATGGAACGCCCGGTATCTACACAAGGACGCTTTGACGCAGCACCAGCGCAGGCCTGAAACCCGGATTTGTTCATCTCAAGGACAGGAGACTGTTGTCATGGCGAAACCTGGCGAATATGGCATCGGAGGATGCAGCTGCGGCCCCGGACAATTACCTGATGGGCATATGGTCTCGCTAGCCCATAGCTCCCATCCCGTCCTGGCTGAGCTCGTTTTGTCAGCTTGCCCCGAGTGAACACCAGTCATTGTTTGGCTCAGGATTTCGGCACCGGCAGCCGATTCTTAATGACGACAGAGATCAGGGAGTGGGCTGGTAGCGACTGGTTATAATGCGCCGGTCATGGAGATTGGAGCTCAGGATGACGGACATTACCCATGAGCAGCGCTGCCTGATTATCACCCAGCATTGTCAAGAGGTTAAAAGGAATGTTTTACATGTGAAGATATTGAGCAAACATCAGCTATGATGAAATAAACTCACTTATAACTATTTGTATATTTTTCAGTAAAAAGACTGCTCTAGAAAACACTATGATTGAGCACCAATTGACGGCCGTTCTATCTGAAAATTTTGCTCATGAACGCCAGATATGGACGACTAGACAACTGTATTTTCTTGGCCTTGATTGCCACAGGGCTAATGAAATGGCAGGATTTAAATGACGCTTTTATAGAGTTATGGATGCATGGGTGTCATTGAAACAGTCTCCCCGAAATATGTAGTCTGCACATATTCGCAGACGTGTAGCTCAAAAACTAGAGGGGCTTAGGTCTTAAGAAGGTTATGGCTGTGAACTGCATCGAATGACCTTCGAGATGGTTATTTCAGTTCAAAACCTCATACAAATGAAGAATGCTCTCTGTGATCACAAACTCAGCCCCGTCACATTTGGTGACGCCATATTGGAACACCTCACAGTGTAGCACACCGATATCAGGCGGCTACGGCGGCCAGAATGTCATGTTACAGCGGTGCTGGCAGCCGAGGAGCTGGTTGGTCTGCTGCCCGTTCGCAGCTCGGCCGCACGAGTGCCTGGTATACAGGCCGAGGTCTGTCTCATCGATGTACACCTGCCTGCAATGCGTACTCTTGACCTGTGGCCGAACTGTACTCAAACAAAAGGGGTCAAACTGTTGAGAGCATCGAGGAATCGTTTCGGAAACTGAATGAGCAATTTGATTACATGGACAAATAATGGTGCCTTCATGAACCATCCCGCCGACCCGCGACTCCTTTGGCCCATGTTTGTACGGCTTTGATAATCAACTCGTTACGCTCCATGCCGAACTGTAGTGTATTAGCGACTAGATTTGTCGGAACAACAATATTGTTCCCGGCTCAGAGAAAAGTGGTACGGTCCATGTGCGCATTGGTTGTAACCGCTTTGTCGAGTGGTCAGATACCACTGTAAGAAGATATAGAAGCCGAAAAAATGGGGTCCAGTACATGAGTTCCAGTATGACACCAGAAGTTCGGTAGATTTGTGATCACGTGCTAGAATGGCGCTTCTCGTGAGCATTGGGCAGACGGATTCAGATGTGACCGTTTTGAAGTAGAGACGAACAAATTTTATCACGATATTTTTCGACGCATAGGGGCTAAGGCGAATGTGAAATAATGTTACCCATTTGGTCTGTGTCTTTGAATCCAGTCACTGTACATTGAAAATAATTGTGTAATAGTACCGAGTGTCCCTGAGAAGTGTTTGCTCCACCCGATCTGAGGACGTAGGAGCAAATGTGTAATAGTACCGAGTGTCCCTGAGAAGTGTTTGCTCCACCCGATCTGAGGACGTAGGAGCAGATGTGTAATAGTACCGAGTGTCCCTGAGAAGTGTTTGCTCCACCCGATCTGAGGACGTAGAAGCAGATGTGTAATAGTACCGAGTGTCCCTGAGAAGTGTTTGCTCCACCCGATCTGAAGTCGTAGGAGCAGAATCTTCATGTTCTTCGGTGATCGGTGTCGCCCATCAGTCCTTACAACCTTACGCCACAGAACATTTCAAGCTTGTATTGCCGCTTTGCTTTTCGAATGCGCAACTTGCGTTGCGATAGCACAATATACTACTGCGGTGGTATGCCAGCATGAATATTTTACGCCGGGGAAGACAAGAAGCTACAGTAAGCTTTCAGTTTATTCACCGTGGTTCACAGTGACTTACATATGAACACTGTTACTCAGTTCATCCAGATGCAGCGCAACGTCAGCAATCAGGCAGCATTGAGACTTTACAGCGCTGTCAATGCAATTAATACAATTTTCCCACGCTGACATTCTGTAACTGCTTGAAAAATTATTTTTAACTACCTGAGAAACCTCACTCGGTACCATATTTCACACTCGCACAAGCATGTCACACTTCTTTCGACGTCGTTTACACATTTTGCGATGACAAGCAGTGCCAAACTCCTAAAACATGTTCCGAAAACGCACCGCTTTAATAATGCTTGGAAACCATAGGGGGCGCAAACTCCACTGCCCGTTCTGCACCCGATATGCTAGGGAGAAAAATGAAAGACATCACCCCAAAATCGCTAATGCGGGTCAAGCATAACAGCTTTAAGGTCTCTGGCATTGTCATGTAAAGTCTTAAGGAATGGCTGTGGGTGTTGTAACGATGTTAGAAACTGACAGCTATGCGCAGGAGAGAAACCAGTCACACACATTTGTTTTGCGAAGCGTGCAATCAAGTGGGAGCAAAACTTGAAGGAATGAGATCATGTTTCCATTTTGCACCCATTGATCTGAGCTTTGCAGAGCAACGATTAAGATACCACCGCTTCACGAGCACATATCACTTCAGAACATGAGCTTAGATTTGTGTGCTTCTGTTGCGTTCCTCATATCGCGTATGCATAATTCACACCAAAGTGCTGTCATCATTGCTAGCAATGCCATCACAGGAATACACACACACACACGCACACACACACACACACACACACACAGACACACACACACGCACACACGCGCACACACACACACACACACACACACACACACACACACACACACACACACACACACACACACACACACACGCACACACACACACATATGTGTACACACGCACACTCAGACATGCACACGCGCGCGCGCGCATTTCAATGTCTGGTATCACTTCAAGCTTCAAGCTTGTCCGCGAAGTTCTTGGTCGACTATGCCGGAATCGCAAGACCCTTGTTTGCGATGTCCACTGCGACGAGCCGGCTTCTCTGGCATAGGGGGCGACGGCAGCGCCGTCTGGCAGAGCGAAGGTGATGCCACCTGATTGGCAGTCGTGCTGTCCTGCTTGTTCGACCTGTTGTTTACCCAGTTGGTGATGCCGGTCACGTGGAGAATCTCGGCGAAAAATGACCGCTCCGAACCGGAGTCTCCCTTCGCCGGCTAAAACAAAAAACAAAAACATTCAAAAGTCACCCACGGCTTCTTTACGCGTGCTGACCCAAATGGTAGTAAGCGTGGTTATCTCAGCATGTTTTCGTATCAGCCTTCTCGAATCGTTACATAGACCGTTAGCATTGCGTAACGTTCTTCGGCGTTATTGCCTAATCCTCAGTCAACGCGTGCACTTACCGTGCAGTTGTCGGCGTCTGACGATAGATGGCTCTGGTGGCTGACCACGGAGGACGGAGTGGAGATGGAGTCTTCCTCGATGTCGGGAAGGGAGGAGAGAGATGAGGAGGGCGAGAGCGAGCCTTCGCCACTCTTCAACGCCTCGATGGAGTCATTCAGCGCCAGTAGCTGACGGAACAGCTCGTTGTCCTGGCGCATCAGCGAGCACTGAAACAGGAGACGAAACCAGCTCGGTCACAGGGGAAATGATAAACTGGTCATGAAGTGTGCAGAGGCACAGGAGTTTGCTTTAAATACATTCTTACGTCGATTAAATTCGGATTAAACTTGTTCGCCCTCTTCATACAAGTTCGAATAGCTTCTAAATGAGGTATGAGGGAAAGGTATGATAAATATAACATGAGATGGAGAGAGATAGATATATGAGATAATAGAAATAGAGAAATATGGCAAAATAAAGTGTAGGGGGAATGTAGGGAGATAGTAAGTAAGTTGTAAGTAAGTAAGTCGTAAGTCACATAGTAAGTTGCACCGCCAGATAGCTAAATG